AGTTGTCTGAATTTAATTTTGAAAGAAAAAATTTTACTATTTTCACAAACAAATCATACAAAAAAAATCCTATTACCCTTTTGTTTATAAGAAGAATATTTTCTGAAAAAAACAACAACAAACAAAACAGTCAATAAGTGCACAAGAGCACATAAATACAACAGAAAAGACAACTAGCTCTTTCAAAACTAAGTTTCTAAAATTAATCAACAATTGTCAAAGTATATTTACTTTGTATTTTACTTCTTAATTTTTTAAAACTCCTTTGTTACATAAATATTCTTATTGATCACAGAAGAATATGTCTAAGTGATTGGGCTTAAATCAATTATTCTAACTTGACTAACAAAAATATTTTTTCTCTCTTTTTTTTTTTCATTCACATTTTTCTAATTGTGATAATACATTTATTTCCAAAATTTGAAATTCAATATGTAACATTTTTAATTGATTATAAAATTATTGATTTTATTACATACCTATTTCTCAGAATATTTACTTAACATGAAACTTATCATGGCAAAAACAAAGGTTATATAATATGGCAGTGAAAAAGTTAAATGAAGGCTGAAACCCTGAAAAGAAGGTGTGTTTTTTACACATTAATCTAAACCCATATCCTCTATAACTGAGTCACTTGTTTTGAGAGTAAATATCTAATGTATCAGTCCCGTACATCTCACTTTTCACTCTACTGCTACCTTTATTATTATATTATAATTTAACTAAGATGTTAGTTATTAAACAGTTCTTTATGTTAACCTATTTTCACAATATAACACTCAAAAATTATTTACTTATAAGCTTTTACTTATTTATTTATAAGCTACATATGAATAAGAACTTTATTTAAAAAAAATTCAAAGTGTTGACCACATATGTATAACCTGCTCTGGAATTAGAAGCTCAAAGTAAGAATCACTACAATTACTTCATAAAAACAACAATGTTCTGCTATTCTGGGACGAAAAACTTCTGCAATAACATTTTTGTAAAATTCAAGAATATCAGATAAATATTTTTTTGATCTTACATTAATGTTGTTTTTGTTCACAAGATATCTGTGTAAGATATAACCAAAGCCAAAACTATTATTTCTTCAACATCACAAATCACATCCATAAAAAGAAAGTTGTTTATATATGTAGCAGCTATTAATCAATAATCCTATTTTGAATAGAAGCACAGCTCTAAATACACCAGTTAACTTTCATAACAATTAATTTTATCACAGATCTTCAATACCTCATTAGAGAGCAAACCAAAGAAATACAGTGGGCCTCCATGTAACAGTGGAATGTAAACAATCTGCAGGTCTTGATATAAAGGGTTTTACATCAAATTCTACAAATTGCTGTTTGACTTGTCAATCACTTTATGGCAAGAATAATTTCTCATGTTTGTGTTATTACAGATACAGAATTTTGTTTCTTTTGAACTGTCGATTAATCACACACAGATATGTTTGGTCATCAAGAAATTATTGTCGTGTTTTGGAACACTTTCATTAACCACCCCCTAAAAACGTATATCACGTATAATAGTTAAACGAACCACCTAAACGTCATGTTAGTGTAGCCTGTATAATGTGTAAAGTTTAGTATACTCTAATTCCTTATCGTGATGGCACACGACGAGACACACATTCAGCATATAATGCTGTTTGAATACAAGAAGGGAAACAATGCTTCTGTACCCATAAAGAATATCAAAGAAGTTTATGGAAATGTTTTGAATATTCGTAAGTGTCAACGATGGTTCAGCAAATTTTGTTCAGGTGACTTTCGCCTTAAAAACTGTAATGGCAGGGGCTGCCATGTTGGAATTGATACTGATGCTCTGAAGATGCTTATTGAGTCTAACCCAAGGCAACATGCTCGTGAAATGGCCCTGAAATTGCATGTCTCTCATGAAACAATATGTATACATCTAAGAAATATGGGCAAACTCCATAAAGAAGGTGTTTGGGTGCCTCACAAACTCTCCGATGATCATCATTTCTAACGTGTGAACGTGCTTTGTCTCTTCTGGTGCGTAATGCACGGGAACCATTTTTGGACAGAATGGATTCTCTATGCGAATATTATATGCCAAAAATAATGGCTCAATCCTAGACAAAAACCAATTCCTTTCACTCAATATTATGGCTTATCAGGTTGGCTGGGATATGACAAACACATCAGTGATCTAAGTTTTATGTATATATAATCAGTCATCATGAACAACAGCTTTTTAGGTTGTGAATCAGATTGAATGATTAAATAGTATACATATTTGTTATGCACAATTTTTATTTTTAATGCACTAATCTAACCAGTTTGTTGCCTTCATTAATATTCTACTTTCTTCATTAGATTTTATCTCATTTAACGTCACTCGACTAATTCATAACCTGTTTACTTTAATTTTTCTATGTTGTACTTTAGTTTAAGAGTATGTTTTCGAGCTACTCATTCTGTTTTTTCTTAGTTGACTTATTAATCAGGTACCATACCCCATCTCTTCTAAAAACTGTTTCCTTGTTACTACAAACCAATAAAGGACTAGTGTCTGAAATGTTTCCAAATTAATTCTTCAATAAACTTACATCAATTTGACACGTGTTTCAGTTCATTTGTTTTCTTCTGTATCTTGTGCACAAATCATAATAACATTTCTTGTGAGTGCAAAATGCAAGCAAATTACATTCTAAAAAAAAATACATACTTATGTACACGTATGGACTGATCATGGTGACCCTGGGTAGCAATCATCACATCAGCTTCATCTAAGACGAATACTTTGATCTTACGAATATTAAAGAAATTAAATCTTAATGCCCAATCCATCACTTTTCCAGGAGTTCCTATTATCACTTGTTCTGTGATCTTCTCACCTCGTGGAACTGAAATGAGATTTGATTGTATTTGGAATTTATTGAACAGGCACGTAATACAAAACTTATTTTATGACTACCTACCAAAAGCATTGATTAAAAGTCTCTAATACTAAAGTAAAACTAATCAAATACATATACATACATACACGCATATATAAAATTGAATATGAGGGCATACAAAATCTCTGTACTAATCATGCATTGTGTACTTTTTAAATAATTTTTCATAATAGGCTTTAAAAGTTTTCGTGGTTTTTAATGCTTTTTTACAATTGGATATGAATTACGTAAACATTTAAAAGAAGAACAAAAATATTTGGTGAATAATTATGTACTAGTAAAAACAAATATTACAATTAAGACAACTTAAACTTGTATAAATATTCATAAAATAATACTGCTGGAAAAACATTCTTGTATTTTGTACTTTTGTTGAAATATTTCTTTGCAGTATACATATTTATATATTTACATTTAAAAAAATACTTGCCTTCTTCTCCTCTGACTGCAAAACGAAATCTGATTTCCTTACAATATTGTGCCATTTGTTTAGCCACATTACCAGTTTGTAATGCTAGTTCATAGGTCGGAGATAAGATGATTACCTTCAAAATGACAGACAAAAAAATGCTCATAAATATCTGACTTTTACTAATAACATTAAAAAAAAGGGGTTCGATTCAATAAAGCATGATACCACACTATTTTCATATAGTTTGAAAAGGCTGTACAAAATCTTGAATAAGTAGCTACACACTTAGTCATTTCATTTGGAAATATACACTAAACTTGAACACCAGCTAGTTACCACCTGCAGATTGGTATTTTGGGACCTTTTTGGTTATTTTACTTTATTTCAATTGAAAAACCATGAAACAGGAACTCATTAAACAATATTTGATAATCAAAATTCCTAATGCTTAGTTTCTGCACTCCAGAGGATGATTTAAGTTTTTAAATCTTAAAGCACTTTAAACTACTTAACTTTCACTTTTAATTTTTATCAAATTTTCAAGAAAAAATTGTATTGTTTCAGCTTTCATGAAATCTTTCATCAGTTGAATGAATTATGAAAAACTGGCGCTAGCATCAGATGTGTTACTATTTCAAGAGCAACTCCACTATTTGCATATTGTGAAAAGGATCCATATATGATCTACATTTCAACATAATAAAGAAAATCCACTCGGTAACACACAAGTTCCTTTCTTATCAGTTACAGTGTAAAGTTTAATAAAAACAAAGAAAGAACTTCAATAACAAACAACTTTCTTTTAATCTCTTATGGTTTAAAGTGTAATAAATGTAATAATTTTTACAAACCATATACTTATTGTTCTTTTAGTTTCACCCTAAGCCCTCATCAGAAAATAATTAAGAGGCCTTACACAATTTTTTTTGTAGTAGGTTTCTCTGCTCACTCTTGCCATAAATCATTTAGCCACTCTGGCTAATGCAATGAAATCTACATTAGCCACACACATATTTTATTAGCTACACCGCTTAAAATATTAAACTTATGTTAGTGTGTATATTGAAGCTGTTGAATTGTAAATGTTTTATATTTGAGGTACTATAGTAGTATAACAAAGCTGTGAATGTAAGAATGATAAGTTTGAGGCATTTGTTATCAAAGCAACCATACCATTAACACTTATACTACATAATATATATACAAAAGGACAAGACTAGACAAACTAAATGACCACTAGTATGTAGCATTGCACTGGCAATAATCATCAATACTGTTTTACATACAAATTTATATGACTAAGCTAGTCAGTAATACTTTGCTGCAATACTGTAAAATTGTATTAAACATGCACTGGTCTGTAAGAAACAAAAGCTTTGACAAAGTCTCGATGTAATCACGACCCATTGAGCCTTAAAAGTTTTTGAGTGGTCACGATCAAACTTCTTTTTCTGCATGACTGGATCATTATCATTATTGTTCTTTTCTGGAACTGGCTGGAAAAAAGACAATATTGGTTTGATTCCTTTGGACTTTCATTTTCTTGGAGCCGGAGTTGCCATCTTTATGGAACTCGAATTTGACTTAAGTAATGCTATCTCTGATTGGATATAATTACCCCTTCGGTGTCTCAAGAAAAAGTTTCTGCATAAAAATTAGATAACCTTAGGCCTATGTGGGATGCCTATTCTACACCAGTAATGCAGTATAAAACATGGTAAAGATGAATGGGAAATTAAACCACAAAAATATTAAAATGTGTTGATAATTCATTGGGTGGTCTTAGTGTTACATATTTATTTGTGTGGGTGAATTTCTGTTCTCAATGAAGATGACAAAAAACTTCAGATAAAAGTAAATTTATTCAACCCTGTGTTTCAGCTTATCCTTTTTCAAGGGTCAATGAACATCACAGCCACCTAACAAATTTTAAATTAGAGTAACCAAAAAGAAAACTATGACAATATAAGGGAACAGTACACGTGAAGCATGCTAAAAGTATTGTTAAGTGGATTATAATTGCTGATCATAATGATTAAAGTTAAAAAAAAATTATAGGGGCCAAGCATTGTACCCATTAATGGAAGAGCATCTGGATTGAATCAACAGATTCCTTAAATTTTCTGTCAAGAAAATTGTAACAAGTCTTAAAATTTTCATTTGATAGTGTCTCATTGATTGCTTTGATGTGATGTTCAGTGGTGGCTACTTTGTTGTCAAGATTACTTTAAAGCAACATTTATTCATTATCTCTTTACAACTATAGCTTTATTTAACAGGTTTTTATTTCCTGCAATCTTACAGGACCTACCTGAGGAAAGGACTTAGAAGCGTCAACCCTACTAAGACTGGCTAGTACAAAAGCAGCAGTTTTTCCAGTTCCACTCTGAGACTGAGCAATCATATTTTGGGGGCTGTGGACAGAACAAAATGCTTTCTTTTTTATCTAAAGTTTAACTTTTTTTTTGTGGTATCTTGGATCTGAGTGCAAATACAAAAAAAACCTCTGTTCTTCATGCCACTAATAAAACATCACTGTACCTTAAAACTTGTTCAGCATTTTCGGTTTTTGAAGCTTGTTATGAATAAATACTCACATAATTAATATAAAATTTTCATGCAGAGTTCCAACTCAGCATGTAAAAAAAGACCCACCTCCAACATTAGTTAAGCTAAAAATAAAAATACATAAAAATATATATGTAGAAACACTTACAAAATACTTTATTATCTAGCAATAAATGTTTTTATATATAAAGATTCTGTACAGTACTCTTTATTTAGTTTACCCTTGTTACAGAGCAAACACTGGAATATTACTGGGAAATTACTAATATCATGAAACTCCATGTTCTTTTTCCATATCCTTGAAAGAATGTTTAAACCTGAAAAAAACATTAACAAACAACAATTTAAGCAATAAAGTAGGAGGCTTAAAAGTAAATTATCCAACTAAGGCAAACTTTGCTGAAGCTGGTAAGGCTACATAGCTTGTCTTGGTTAACAGAAGAAATAAACTCTTGTCAAAACCTTTCTTTTGCTGTATTATATTAAAGTAAATTCCTGATAAAAGTGAATAAAAACAAAGACTTGTACAATTTAAATAGTAAAAACAAATGATGTTCTTCCCAAGATTATGTTTTATAAAAATCAACCTGCCAAATAAAGCTCTCTATATGTCATGAAACACTTGATGTACATAAATATAAACAGTGAATGTACCATAAAGAATAAAACAATACAAGCCTTTTAGTTAAATAAAGCTCTCTATATGTCAAACATTTGATGTACATAAATCTAAACAGTGAATGTACCATAAAGAATAAAACAATACAAGCCTTTTACTTAAATAAAGCTCTCTATATGTCATCAAACATTTGATGTACATAAATCTAAACAGTGAACGTACCATAAAGAATAAAACAATACAAGCCTTTTACTTAAATAAAGCTCTCTATATGTCATTAAACATTTAATGTACATAAATCTAAAAAAGTGAATGTACCATAAAGAATAAAATAATACAAGCCTTTTACTTAAATAAAGCTCTCTATATGTCATCAAACACTTGATGTACATAAATATAAACAGTGAATGTACCATAAAGAATAAAACAATACAAGCCTTTTACTTACGGATCTGCTAATAATGTTGGAAGAGCAGTTTCTTGAATTTTGGAGGGTGAATTGAAGCCCATGGCATAAACACCCTTCAAGAGATCCGGGTTTCTGAAAATATATGTTTGAACTATATTTTCGATCATTAAGTGAAATATGATGAAACATAAAACAAGTAAAAACTAAAGCCACAGACATAACTTATATTTAACAAAGGAAATATTTTAAAATATTAAATTTTAGATTTATGTATATTTTCAAAAATTCGATAAATTTCACCAAAACGAACATTTATTTCAACTAGGTAGTATAAGTTTTTCTTGTTTTACAAAAGCTGACTTTCAGATACTTACAGATTTAATTCTTCAAATGATTTTACTGAATACAAAGGGGAATTAGGATCATTCCGCTGCACTTCAACATCATAAGTGCTTTCTATCAATTTAGATCTTAGGATCTTTTTCATCAGTGATGCTTCAGCTGCAGAAATTTCTGTTAAGGAAATAACATAAATATGTTTGACATTTTTTTGTAATTTTCACAAAATAATTGTCTACTCAGGTAATCTTGCAATCAAATGCATCCATCTTACTCAGCTCTAGATATGATGGCTTAAATCCTGTAAATAAACTATGTGGTCCGGGCCGCACTTATTACAGTCATTCTTACCAAAATAAAATTACATGTAAAAAAAAAAAACCCATCTGAATACAAAGTCTTCCAAATGAGCTAAAGTTAGAAACTACAGCAACTAGTTATGCATCTGAATTTAAATATTAAGCCTGCTAAGTCAACATTGTCCTTCAATACTATGAACATGTAATGTCTGTCAAGAATATATTTAATGACTTCATTTCATTTATAAGCATCAAATTAACTAAGAAAAGAAAAGGGTATTTTACTTGATTTTTAAATCATTCATCATTTATTAGCCTTAATGAACAAATAATATATCTGTTATTGACGTGTGCCCATGTAATGTAGTTTTTATGGAAAATAAGTGTTCAGTGTTCTTGTTCTCTTTACAGGTTTGTCTCTACCACAGATCAAGTTATTTGTTTTTAATGAAAAAAAAAATGTTTGTATCAACAGTAAGCAATTTCTAAAGAAAAACATTACACTGAATGCTAATCTAACACTTAAGAAATTGCTAAAACTTTAAAACAAAAACAGTAGAGTAAAAGCATATGGTTTTATATTGTAAGTTACACACCAATATTCATTGAATGTGATTCCAATTTTTTCATTTTGCAATTTCCATGAATCAATTTCTCTCCATTCTGTAAACAATCATTGGTGACAGCTCAATCCACTAAGTCTATAGATACTGGTAATATATGGATGCATAATCACCATTTTGATTCATATAGTTGCTTGCTTAAGTGAAAAACATCACAAATGACTTATCTGACCAAATCAAGGTAATGTATGTGCATTTTTAGAACCAGCTGTAAAGTACACTCCATATTTGAACAGCATGCTTTTGGTTTGAAGCAATTTCTAATCAAAAATTCATTCAAATTACCATTACCTAGTTTAAAGGGTGTAGAGAAAGTACAAGAAAATTTTTTGAGAGCTTTTCACCTTTGACCCTTACCAGGTTACCTCTGGTTGGGATATATGTGGCCCCTTGACCCCAAGTGAGAAAAACTCAACTTGATGCAATCTCTCACTGTTCTGATTAGAAAAATCTCTTTTACTAATTAAAATAAAAGGTGATTAGTAATGGTACTACTGAAATTTTACTACTTATTTGGTAATTATATGGTACTACTTATTTTACAAACTGTTCTATGGTACCATCAATTCTAAGATGTTAGTTATTACAAAAATTTATTATTCTATTATAAAGTTAATGATCACAAAAATGTTCATTTAATGTTTTAGCAAAAGTGAAACATTCATTCCAGATTGCTGATCCCAATGCAGACTAAAACTTTTTTCCATTGAAAAATCAAATCAACTACTTACATAACTCTTATGATTATGTACAAATACAAGTAGTCAAGTTATTAACAGGAGTATATAGGATGGACAGCTAGAGAAATAGTAGAGTGACTAAATGAGCACCTAAGTTTTAGAAGTGCAAACTCCACTCAAGTAGCAAAACACATGTTAAGCAGTAATGACAGTCAACTGGATAACCGATACCTCTAGGTCGTTCTCAGAGTACAGAATGAGAGAAATCTTAATACTTTTAAAACCGCCATGATAACATTATGGAAACCAGTGACCAACAATTAGGAACAAGTACTTCCACTCTTGGTAAACGTTAATTAATCTTGAAAACAGGATTTAACACATGATTTCTCAAGATTAACAGTTTCGAGTCTAAAGATGATTATTGCAAAATAATCAAACAATTGCTGAATTTAGTTTCAACATAAAGAAATGTGTTAGCTCTCGTTTTCAATAACCTATACTCCTTTAAAGAACTTAAGAATCAATTCTACTACTAAAAGATAATACTTTCAAATATAAACTATGGACCAAGAAGCCTAGCCCTGTCTTAAATGAAAGATACAATTTAAAAAAAAACTAACCTGGCTCCTCTGCATCACCTGTTCCTTCATTTCTTACAACGTTATTTGCATCACTGCTGTTTGTAGATACCTTTATACTTTCCACCTACACACAGGAAATAAATTATCAAAATACACATTCTTTAAGCCAATCCCACTAGATTAAAGTAATTTTAATAAAAATAGTGGGCTATATTTCACATTTATTTCTTAATTGAACCAAGTTTGTATCACTTTATCAGGCTACAATAAAATAATGCTATATATCAGAAGCATGTTAAAAACAATCTGAAACTGAAAGGCATGAATTTTGTGCATATGTAGCAAAGTATACAAAAGATATAAGACCATTTTATTCACTAAAACAATCAATCAAAATCAAATTAACAAGATCAATCATTAAAAAAAAACATTCCACGCATCTCTAATTTCACGAGGAAAATACTTTTGACAAAAACAAAAAAGCTAAATCTGTACATTCAAAACATGTTACCAATAGTACTTGAGCTCACATTCCCAATCTTTACATTTCACCCTCTACACAGACCATCAATGAGAAGATCAGTGAAATGAAAAAAAAAGGCATCAGGTGGGATATTTTAGAAGTTGAAACTTTTTACCAATTACTGAATATGGTAGAATGAGCTAATGGAGTATGAATCTATGTTTAACTTCAACATAATAAGATTAGTAGAACCTTAAATGAGACTTATGAGGCTTCATGTAGAATCCTTTAGGCAGTTTTAGTCCCTTTACTACATGATATATAATAAAACGCTAGAGAATATATAAATAGGCTACAATAATTATACTTAGAAAACAATGGTTACACAAAAAGACTTCATCTGAAGCTAGACACAGTAGCTTAAAGAGTACATTTAGTTGCTATTACTCTAATCTAATGTTAGAAGTATTAGCAGTAAAATGGATAATTTTAAAACTCAAATTGGTATTAAAAATTATAATATAATAGGAATAACTGAAAAAGTGGGAAACAGTTAGGGAAGAGTGATCATTGCATATTTAGGTTTGTTACAAATTGATAAAATAAAAAAAAAATGAAATTTTGGTTCCTCATTTTCAAATAACCAATTTTAAGGACATGAAACAAGAATTATCATTAGTGAATTGAGAATAATTTAAAAGGTAATGTGGAATATATATAAGGGGAATTTTTAAAAATAAGTTTATTCTGATTCGAGATAGGCATGCTCCTAAAAAAAAAAAGAAGAAAAAGATAACAAGGAAGATCAAGATTAACTGACTTACTAAAGACAAAGAAAATCATGGATAAATACTATCAGTTTAACAGGTTTAAACTGACATATAGCTTACAAGATTTACAATAGTACATGAAAGCTGTGGATTTGCTAAAAATGACTGGTAATTTAATTAAGTAATACAGTTAGATACATTTCAATACAACTGTGGAATTGGTACAATATTTTAGTTTCACAAGCTATTTTGAAAGAAACTAGAATACAATCAACTATATAAGCAGAGAAATAATATTCAGTTGAACAAATAAAACAAAAAAGAGCACCTTTTATCAAAAATTAATTCATATAAAAACAATTTGAATTCTCTAGTGAACTAGTGTGTTTTAAATTTTATGAACCAGCTTACTGTGTCAGTTTTGACATTTAAACTAAGTTGTACAGTTAAAAGATGATTTAGTTTTCTAAACAAAGAAGTATTTATCAAATTTTGGAACTTATAACAAAACAATCTCAATTCATGACTAATTGGAATATATGTACAATCATATTGATGGAATTGCCATTAGGTCTAAACAAGCACCAAGTTCAGCTAGTCTCTTCCTTTGTTTTTATGAACAAAACTGGTTCATTAAATGTGTGGAAGAATAGAAACATACTCTATATCGCAGCCATGATGAAGTTAACATTTTCCTAAATTGAAAATGCATTTCTGATCGATACTTACCACCACTCACCCAAATGCTATTTCCCTCATGCATCTGCCTATGAGATTTGTATGCACCTAGCCTTGAGCTAATTTCCACCTAAATTTACATGTTTAATGTGAACTTTGCTAGTGTATGATGACTTTATCATGTGACAATAGCCTCCAACAATTGGACAGTGACACAACCTTCATACACAATAACCCCCCATGCACTTGTAATAACTTCATTCTTAGACGAGGCATGAAAAAAAGTGTACTGAAAGTGGGAAGAATGGATAGGGTGTAATGAGGTCAGTACCTATTAGAAATACACTTTCAGATTAGGAAAATGTAAACTTCTGAGACAATAACTCATCTCTTCATATGGGAATGCCAGAATCCCACACTGAAGTAGTGAAGGGTTCAATGCTAGATTTTATCTAGTTGAGCTCTCTTTAGAAAGTGCTTAAAGGGAAAGCCCATGGAGTGTGACACTCAATGGCATAGGGATACACCATGGGAGATCATGTTTCATCGTCTGGAGGGTCTCATCCAAAGGCCAGTGAAAACGTGAAGCAAGAGAATGAAACAGGTGACAAATTTGAAGAGAAGAAATGTTAAATAGCCTGAGAGCATCCATATCCAGGGAAGAATATACCAGCCAAAAGTACTGATGAACCCATCCAATAAGGGTAGAAGGAGAGAGATCCCTGGAAGAAGAGTCCTAGGGTAGGAAAAGATAATGGAGGAAACCCCTAAAAGGAGAAGTCTGTGATAAGTAACACCAAACAGCCCATAGAAGCTGATCTGGGTCTGAACAATCATAGAGGTGAGATAGATAGATGGAAGATAGGACATAAAGTATGGTTACCTTCCTGTGCAGCAGAAATCTTAGGAAGGAAAGACCACTTCTAGTAGTGGAGTATATAAGTGTAGTGGAAGAGGGTGTGAAAAGCATCAATAACAAAGACATCCAAATGACAGCGACCACAGGAAAGAAAGAGGAGGAAATATGTCTTAAGAGAAAGGTGGTACAAAGGGAAGGAAGCCAATGGATCAAATGGGGCATACGTGAGAACATGAAAACACATAATAAGGTTCATTAAGCATGGGAGTCAAGCAAGGAGGTTAGTGAAGAAGGAAGGAGTGGAACAGAGTAGAGAGCACGGGAAGAAAACACTTTGTGGTAGTGGGAAAAGCAAAATTTAGTGGACAATACCGCTTGAGAACAAGCAATGGTAGAGATCAACAAACCATTGTCGTGCAGCCAAGTAAAAAAGACAGAAAGGTGGTTCAAAACAGGACAGCTGAGAGGAAAGAAACAGGAAATGGACCAATGATGAAAGACCTGCCACTGTCATTGGTAGACAGATAAAGTATAAGAGCAAGAGGAATGGGACAAGAAGGTGGCTACATAACCAGAAAGTCCAGCCTGACAGGAGAATGACCAGGCAAGCAAAGAGGCAGAGGAAACCAAGGCTGAGCTGGGAAAAGAAGTGCCACCAGGAGTACTCGATAAGGACTATCACATATCAAGGTGAGAACCCGAGGAAGAGGGTGATAGGCATATAGAAGAGAGGTGAGACCAGGTCTGGCTGAGAGTATCAACAACCAGAGCCAAAGGATGTGGAACAGGGGACCAGAAGAAAGGAAGCTTGGAGTTGATAGAGGTGGCAAAGGTGTCCATGAGAAATATGCCCAACTGAAAGCAAACACAATAAAAGACCTAAGTATGGAGAGACCACTCCATGAGTAAAATGCAGCCTGGCTGAGAGAGGCAGTCCACAACAAAGTTCATAGCTCCTGGCACATGACAAGCAACAAGACAGATTTAATGGGAATGAGCCCAAAAGAGGAGGTCAAATGCACAGGAGCAAAGAGTCCCAGAATGGGTGCTCCCTAAATGGTTGATGTTAAAAATGACTGTGGAATTTTCAGAGTTAAATCTAATGATTATGTTATGTCCAACAATTTGCTATTTTAGTAAGTCATGTATTATGGTCTAATGAGTTTTTTTCTTAATTAAGTTAATGTGAAGGATAATGTTAATTCATATTTATTATAATACATGGTATTATCAAGTTATAATACAGGTACTACATTAGCTCTATACCAGAAAAAAAATTTTTCAGATAAACTTCTAGCAGAAAAATGTGAAGAAAATCTATTCAGTTTTTCTTTCTTTTATATTTTGTTTATTTAGATTTTTTACATAGCTGTCCCTAATTTTGAACTTGTAGACAAAAAGGAAGGCAGCTAGTCAATAGCTTCCAATGTCATTTCTTAGACTCCTCTTGTTTGACCAAATATTGGAACTTGACCATCGCTTTTGTAAGTTACGCAGTGGCTAAATTCCCAGCAGCCAGGAATGATCTTTCAAATACTAAATATCTGGCAGTCCAAAAACTTTAATATCGAGAACCTACAACAACAATAATAATACTAATAAAAATAATAATAATGATGATAATTAATTAATCACATTAAATAATGATAATAATAATACAAATGATAATTTGAAAAACTTCTCAAATTATATATAAATATATATATATATATACAAAAAATTGTATAAATTAAAATATTGGAAGCTTATCAATATTCATAATCATGAAATTATGTACAACTGGGTATCTAGTATTTCAAGGATTATTTCAAGCAACTTGTAGAGACACAAACACTGATCGATATTTATTTTCCCAGTGCAAATTTTGTTCAGATCATTTCATCGAGCTTGAAGACAAATCATTCCCTAAGTCAAGTGAGAGGTGATTGTAGCTATCAGTATTCAAATTTTTGGACTGCCAGTTATTTATTATCTGAAAGATCGTTCCTGACTGCTGGATATCTAGTCACTTCATATAAATTATAGTGCACTCAGAGTGCATTTCTGCAGCAACATGATACAAACCATGAATCCATGCAAGTTGTATTTACAGTATAGACACATTCACAACTAGACCATGCCTGGCTCTTTTTATTATATTTTGATTAAATATGTAGTACTAGTAGACACCCAATTCTCACAATGAAGTTACTGAATGTACTGAAAATCAGTGAAAATTGAAAACTAAACTAGCAGTTCTGCCATTTCAATTTTTATTTTTTAATTCATGTAGCCAACCACTTTAAATTACTAGTTACATTTAAAGCTGTCATTTGAACACGAAGACAATTATTATACTACAGTAACACTATTCTGTATTCATAATGAACAAGGCTTAATTAATGTTTAATTATATTAATTGCATTGTAGTTTTTGTTATAACATACTATTTACCTTCTTATAAATCTCAGTTAGATGTTTCTCTTGGTCATCCGCAGATTTCGCCCAATCTAGTGTAGCAGCCATTTACTTTAATTTTAAAAACGTTTTACTTGAATTTATTCTATTCTTTTGTTTTTGTATTTCTGAGTGCCTATCGTTTTACGACAAACCTACTTGATTATAAATCACGTTTAATTTGAATAATACAATTTACAATAACTCAGTTGACGCAATAAGAAACCTCACTTTCGTATAATGCCCTCTGTTCAGTGACAAATTATATAAATAGAAAAAGAAATAGAGGGGGCTAAATGTGTGGAAGGTATTATGCAGTTTTGTTGCAAGGCGGCAAATATAGGGTAGCTTAAAATGGGTTTCCTTTTAAGATATCGACAACTGTATAAACGTTACCTATATAGAGATTTTATAATACCTAGAAGTCATGATTTCTATAAATTATTTTACTGATGGAATAATCAAGTGCCATAAGTGACGAATGCACGTTGGGAAAGATGACGCTATCGTGTTCTTTATATAGTGGCCAGCTCCAGGGTCCGGAATTCGCAAAATTTCTAAACGGTCTTTCAAAAAATTTCTAACTGGTCCTTATTAGGTTTATCTGGTCCACTCAAAGATCATGTATATGTGTGCGTGTATAAATTTCATTTTATTAATAACAAATGTGAAACTTTAAAAGAAAAATACAATTGCAAATACATATATGTGTAACATTAAACAAAACTCTTTAATTGAAAACAGCAGTTTTTTATTTATATCGTTCTGAAAACGTGCATTATGTTTATATTATACAGATAAACACACACACACAGAGAAAAGTTACTTAAGATTACTATTTTAATGCTGAACAAAAGGTAAGATATTTCTCCGTTGAGATGTTAATATTTACTACACTTCACTTGGATTGATTGAACCATTTACAGGTTCCGAGAACCTCCTTTTCATTTCACTTTTCATAAGTATTTCCCATAATGTTTAGAAATAAACCAAGAATCCTCAAAAACTAGGGCACCCTTTGGTAGATTGAAGAAAATAATATACTTTTACGAGAAGAAAACATAACTATGGTTTTATAAAAAAAAAGTAGACAAAGCATGTTTGATGACAAGGTGAAATAGGAAAAATGCTTAAAATTCTAATTGACCCTCTTAGATCGATAAAATTATTATTGTTTTTCGCTATTCTAGTTAGCGTAGAGGCCTCCTAACTAGTCAGGGCGTACTAAACAACTCGAATTTCGGACCCTGGAGAACTTTCTCTCAGGCTAGTTCTCATTTTCTTTTAGAATTCCTTCAGACCTTGTTCTGACACAGAGTGTTTTCAACAATTTGGTAATGCTGTCCGGTTTTATTATGCATTCGTACTTGATTTGTGTTAATTGATAATAAAGGTAATTTTCATTTTCTGCTTAGCATTGTGTTCAATCTCATTCTTTCAATTCGATCAAATTTAGATTTAACTCTGCTTAACATCTTCTCCTATCTTTCTTGTTACTGCAATTAATATTATTACCTGTATGGTATTCTTAACTACTGTGATTTCACAAAGAGTTATAGGATAGGTTAAACAGAGTAACAGGAGGTTCAAGCAGGAAACATATCATGGAATAACCTTAAATTCACTGACTTCAGTTGAGTTGTTAAAGAAACACACTGGATGCAGGTTGGGACAATATAAAAAATCTTTATTTATCTCCATAAAGCATCAAAGAGAAAATTAATGTGTGTTTGTTGTGTCTTTACTGGAAAGATCTCTAAAAATACCAGATGAAACTCAGCAAAAACCTCTGACGAATCTGTTTAAGAATTAGAAAACATAGCGATAATGCAATTTTTCTCAGAGTGCATGCACTATCCACGTGGCAGTTGGTCATTCCTATTGAAAAGTAACAGAAATTGCCTCCATAATGTATCACATGACTTGCCAGTGGAAAAAAAAATCATTGTCAACTTCTAAATAGAATATTCAACCTTATAGAAATCTTTCCCACAACAAAGCACACACAATACCCTAGGTAAATGAACCAGTTTGTAGGTAACTAGGGCAAAATGAAATTACCAACTTCCCTGACCATCATTGTGTGTTAAAACTACTGTTACGACGCTAGTAACACATCATGAGCTTCTAGAAAATTCATGTCCATTCGTGAAGCTTCGAGTGTTTACTGGATGTGTGGTATTTTTGTATATAAGACCGCCAAGAACTGACGGCAACAATGGAATTGAATTGCAGACAGAGATAGAGACGGATAATTGGGCCAAGTGCGTGAATCGTTCGTTCGTTGTGAATTATAGCGTTTGTTTAAGTTATAGCGTGACTGTGGAAATTAAGTGTATTGCAAAGTTGTATTGAGAAAGAATAAACTAGTTTTATTTAAGAAAGGACTTGTATCGCTAAAGTTTCTTCGGAAAGAATTTTTACGGGAAATTAACAAACGAACAGAGACGTAACAAATTGGTGTCAGAGAGTAGGACTAAAAAAGAAAGAAAAAGAAGATGAAAACGAGAAGTGGCAAATCAAACTATAGCTTAGCAGATTTGATGGCAGCAATACAAGAACAGCAAAAGAAACAAGAAGAACGAGAAAAGAAACAAGAAGAGAGACAACAGCAGTTGCAAGAAAACCTGCAACAATGGCAGCTCGAACAGCAAAACAAACAAGAGAGATTACAGCAGTTGTTGGAGTAAAAAAAAGAAACAAGAAGAACGAGAAAGGAACAAGAAGAGAGACTACAGCAGTGGTTGGAGGAGAAAGAAAATAAACAAGAAGAGAAATTACAGCAGTTGTTGGATGAAAAAGAAAAGAAACAAGAAGTAGGAGAAAAGAAACAAGAAGAAAGATTACAGCAGTGGTTGGAGAAGAAAGAAAATAAACAAGAAGAGAAATTACAGCAGTTGTTGGATGAAAAAGAAAAGAAACAAGAAGTAGGAGAAAAGAAACAAGAAGAGAGATTACAGCAGCGGCAACTGGAACAAGAAAGAAAACAGGAAGAAAGTCTCCAACAGTTGCAGGAAATTCAGCAGCAACTACAGAAAAGTCAACAACAGTGGCAAAAAGTACAAATGGAAAACATTAGTAAATTTCAAAGCGAATTAAATACATTAAAAGATAATTTATTGTCTTTTACAGAAGGAGGATACATTAATCATCGACTTAATCAGCCCCAGACAACGGCAAGCCCCTTCCAGACTCCGCAGCTAAACCCTAATGCAGACATATTCAGTTTTGTTAGAAGTCACATCCCAGATATGAATGTCAGCAATAGGGGTGATACAGTATGAAAGAAGCCACAGGAATTCGTTGGGAAGGCACCGTGGGAAGCATATAGAGCACAATTTGAGCTACTGCCAGAAATGAATGGATGGACAGAGGAGCAGAAAGCAGTATATCTGGCAACGAGCTTGAAGGGACAACCACTGGAAATATTTGGACAGTTGTCAGCAGACGACAGGCACAACCATAGAGCACTGGTAGTGGCTCTAGAACTCAGGTATGGAACTCAAAATCAGTCCGAAGTTTACAGGGCTAGGTTTAGGACGAAAGTCCGTGCTAAAGGGGAGAGCCTGCAAGAGCTGGCACAGGACTTGGAAAGTATGGCACACAAGGCCTACCAACTGCACCACCCGATCTCCTCAAGTTGTTGCTGAGGGATCAGTTTGTAGATTCCTTGGACAATCCATAAC